TTCATATATGATTGTGAAAGAATGATACAAAGATCATTCCAAAATGGAAAACAACCTAATGAAATCTAGAATTGAAATGCAATGATGCAACCATAAAATTCTGACAACTTCGAGTTTTTGGCCTTGATTTGTCACAACTGATAAGGGATATAGTAGACAATTCAATAAAACTTGGAAAACTAATCAGCTCAGTTTTTTATTCATCTATGCTACTTTTTGTGGCCGAGGTTTTGGCTGTACTAGCCCTGTTCAAAAAATTGATCATACCCGATTATACACTCTCTCCCAGAATCTGTAACAAAGGTCTGCTCAGCATAGTTGCAGTATAAACAATAGAGCATGCATCTGTAATTGGCTTTGACTAGCCGCCCTGGCAGGTGGCTGGGGTCAGAAATGTGTAGTCACTGGTCATTATGCTTTTTACTATAAATAATGATGTTGCAAGTACCAAGTGTGTAATCTGAGTCATGCCTTTCCTAAAAGGATTCGACTGATATAACAATATAAATATTGTTATATTAGTCTAATCCTTGACTTAGTGATTGTTTTTGTATAGACAGGGTGCGATGAGTAAATTGTCACTATTTTATATTTTTACTTTTGTGCATACATGTTTGTTTTTGATTTTATGGATTGCACACTATATTAGGGTCAGTCTATGAGAAAAAGAGCACCATGACACAATTCACTGTTCCAGAAATTTGGAAACGGCATTCTGTACTGCTTGGCATTCACACAGGAAGCTTCAATACGAATATTTCAGTGTGTTTGGGTGCCAATCTGAGGACAGTGCAGAAGATTCGGCAAGAGTTGGATAAGTCTAATGGTGATTATGAAAGTACGGCAGCTTGGAAAACTTCCTTGGATCTTTCTAATAATTAATTTGTCAGTGAGGGCCTCACTCAACATGGAGGCCTACATCAAGTGCCTTGAGGAGGTAGTGCTGCCTTACATCAAGAGGGTGGCTGCTGGAAGACCTTTTGTCTGGCAACAGGACTCTGCACCATGCCACACAGTCAGGAGAACCGAGTCATGGCTGTCAGACAGTTTTTGCAACCACATCACCCCTTACATCTGGCTATCTAAATCCCAGACTGCCACCACCTATGTGTGGGGCACAGCTGAGTAAGAAACCAACAAAACTCCTTGTAACACAAAAGATGAACTGAAGGCAAGGATGATGGCAGTATTCAACAACTTAAACAAGGATCCCATTCAGAAGAGGTGCAGGAGATTCCAAAGTCATCTGCAGGCCATGGTTGAAGCCAATGGCGACTTTACTGAATAAATTTACTCTTCAGTATTTCAAGATATTTTTGTTCAGTTTTGGTAAATATATCTGTTAAAAGAAGATGTCAGTGTTATTTTCATTTTTTGTGTAATTTAGATGGCAATTTATCCATCGCACCCTGTAAGATGCTTGATCGAATTTTTCTTATTCCCTTTATATTCCATTGGTAAGGAGAAAGTTCAACTCAGACAGTCTTTTCTCCAGAACTGTTACATTGTGGAACAAACTCTTGAAAGGATGCTTCCTTGAACACTACAAACTTAACTTCTTCAAATCTAGTGTCAATACCTATTTTATCCTACATATTCTGATAATATGCTCCTTGTATACACTTACAACCTCATTCAGTAACCCTCTAACTTGAGTGGCTCTTGGGCCTTACTTATACTAGGTAAACAATGGTATAAAAAAGATGGCGAGTTTATGAACAAAAAATTACTTTTAGTAATTTACAGTTCAGTTTAACAGCTGTGAGTTTTGATGGGACCCAAAAGATGAATTATCCAGATGTATGATACATGATCTCTTTGCATTCCAATTTCTGTCCGGTCATCCCTTGGTCATGTTCATTTTTAAGTCACTCCCTAGCAGGTCTTAAAGTTACTGATAGGCCATCTTGAAACTTGATCCTGATTTTTAATCTGTTGCCATAGTAACAGTAGGCACTTCTACAATTGAAACCAGAAAATATTTAACCCTCAAAATATTTATTTTACACATCTACACACACAGTCTGAGATATAGCAAGTATAATAGTTAATTTCCCCAAGGACTGCTACACTCCCCCCAGACAGCGCCTCCCTGTTGCATGTAAAGGAGTAAGGTCAAGGTCAATCTCTGATAACTGTGACATCCCATAGTGAAGTGCCAGTGAGCTTAATAATTTTTATCCTCAATTCTTTGCATTTAAAAAAGAAAAAAAAAGAGCTCTGTCATATCTCTAATAGAAGATGAGAAAATATTTTGAGTTTCAAATAGACATGTTGGAACACTTATTCTTCTTTGGAGAAAACCCCACCCAGGACATCCTTGTTCAAAATATCCCTTTATTAAATATTCAGGAAATACCTGGCTATTCTTTAGGCTGCAAGTGTTCTAAGATAAAGTGTTTCAGGATAGAAAATTATGAAAAATGATTAAAAATATTCCAACAATCCATTTAAAAATAAAAAGTTTAATCATTATCAATATTGCTTGGAAAATTTGACACTCACAGAACATTTTGAAGGCAAGAGGGACTGAAGAATTCAGTGAGAGAACTGCCTAAGGCACTTATGTATATGGTTTGGTTTGGTTTGTTTTATGGCATATCAGCCTCAATGGGTTATTTAATGCCGACAAGATTTTTATTGCTGCTAATATTTCAATTAGATAGATAGATAGATAGATAGAGAGAGAGAGAGAGAGAGAGAGAGAGAGAGAGAGTGTGGGGAGATAGAGAAATAGAAGGTGAGAGAGTTATAGAGGTAGAGGAAGATTGGGAGAGAGATAGATAGAGATGTTGAGATAGATAGATAGATAGATAGATAGATAGATAGATAGATAGAGATTGGTTTGGTTTGTTTTATGGCATATCAACCTCAATGGGTTATTTAATACGGACAAGATTTTTATTGTTGGTAATATATTTTTTTCAAAAATCTATTGCTGGTAATATTCTTTTTCCTTCAAAAATGTATTGCTCGTAATAATTTTTCCTTCAAAAATTCATTGATTGTAATAATTTTTTTACAAAAATGTATTGCAGTTTGGGGGTTAACTATTTTCCCATAACTGGGACCCTAACAGGTGCTACCACCCTGGGTCAGGGTGGATCTGAGAACAACAGCAATTAAGAGATGGTTCCACGTTCCTCAAAACCTCCCAATTACAGGCCTTGCTGTTGAATGTAATTTATCGTCTTACCCAGGACGTTGATGTAGTTTACCGTTATACCCAGGGCAGTTGTGTATATGGTTTAGGAGAGACAGCATAAAGGCAAACTCTAACTAAGAACTACAAACGCCAGGAAATTGTGTGTAACCATGACTGCCAATGTCATGAAGGGACATGGCAAATCGAAGAAGAAAAATCCATTTTATCCCATCCAACCCATCTATTTGAAACTCGAGTGCAGTCATTTAAGTTCTCAGCCTATTATTGGACCCAATTTCTTTATTTAAGTTTACCACTTGGAATTATCTTTTTTTTATTGTGATTGAAAAAAAAACATTTAAAAAGGTAAAAATTAATGCTAAAATATTTGTTTGGTCAAAAGTTAATGCAAACCTTATGGACAGGCTAGGACTTTTATATTGTTATTGCTTATAAATTTGGGGAAGAGTCTTTGTAAGAAATTTCTATTTTTTTATAACATTTCTCCCCAAGAAAGGTGATAAAGCCACTAAGGCACAAAAAGTTAATGAAAGTGAAAGAAACTGAGAAAATATTATTGAGGAGAAAGGACAATAGCAGAACAGGATTAAAAAAGATAGCTGATGAAAATTAACGTATTTAAATTTTTGAAATTCATAGTTGACAGGAAAGCAAGAAGCTGGAAGAGAGTTCTATAAGCAACAAGTGTGAGAGAAGAAACTATTAGAATAGAACTTACATCTAGCAATTTCAACAATAAAAGGATGAGACCTAGCTGCCCGCCTAGATTCCTGAAGCTCCTGAAGTTAAGTTACCAAAGAAGAAAGCTCATCAGAACAATTGTTCAGAAAATGTTTATAGAAAACGTACATGGAAGCTACATTAGAGAGGTGGGAAAATGATTAAAGCTAAGATGCCAGGTCAGGACTGATAGCATTGCAGATTCTTCTTTGGATTTTTTCAAGAATTCTCTCAATACAATGAAGCATATAGCTATATAATTAATATTATATAGTTACTAAAATATAAAGATAATATTATATAGTTACTGAAATGTTTGATATAAATTTGTATATCTATACAAAGATATTGTTTTGATAATGTTGTTCATTCTGTACAAGGCCTAAGGGCCACTTGAGGTAGAGGGTTACAGAGTAAGTGGCACAGTTTATGGAAATATATGGTGTAGATAATGGCTAACCCTAGACTTGAAAATATTAAAATTATAGTGATTGGGGAAGCATCAACTTGGGAGTCGGTTCCACAAATCAGCAGTTCATGGGAGGAAACTGCTTGAATGGTAGTTGCATCTTACAAACCGATTATGAAGGAACTGGGGCATGGTTTGTTATAATGATCGTAGCATGGCAGGTCTTAGCTGTGAAGGTTAGAACTGGTGGAACTAAGGAATGGAATTCGTCTGAACATTTGCCATGGAAATAGCGATAGAGCAATGAGAGGCTTGTGACGTTTCATCTGTAGAAAAGGGGTTGTAGAGTGGAAGGTAATTCATCACCCTCAAGGATGCAGAGATGCTTTTGAATACTAGAAAATGAAGATATATATGCCAGCAGAACTTTGTTCTCGCCCTGCTCTAGCTCTTGTAAAAGTAGAGGGTAGCAAGAGGAGTCAGATACTTAATGAAGCAGTACAAGAAAACAAACTATTTTCCAAGTATATTGTGGAACAGACTCCTAGCAGAATATTTTTTGATCACTATAATCTTGACCTCTTCAAGCTAAGTGTTAACTTTAATCTTTCCTACTGCCATAACGTAGCTTCTCTGTGCCTTGTCTATAAATACTTTCATGGTAATTGTTCTGATAAACTTTCTTTTTGGATACCTAGACTTTAT